CTCAACCAACTGAGCCACCCAGGCGCCCTCTATCATTCTTAATACTAAAACTCTTCTGCTTAATTTTTTCTTTTTATTAAAATTGAGATGAAATTCACATAAAATTAACCACTTTACACTGAACACTTCAGTGGCATTTAGTACTTTCAGTGTTGAGCTACCACCACCTCTCTATAGTAGTTCCAAAACATTTTCATCATTCCAAAAGAAAACTTTGTATTCATTAAGTAGTTGCTCCCCACCCTCTCTCCCAAAACTTTGGCTGCCATCAGTCTGCTTTCTGTTTCTATGGATTTACCTATTCTGGATATTTCATATAAATGGAATCATACAATAAGTGACCTTTGATGTTTGACTTCATCCACTTAACATAATTTTTTCAAGGTTCACCCATATTGTAACATGTATTAGTACTTCATTCCTTTTTATAGCCAAATAATCTTCCATTGTATGGCTATATCACAATTTGTTTATCTACTTATCTATTTATGGATGTTTGGGTTGTTTTCATCTTTGGTTATTGTGAACAATGCTGCTATGAACATTCACGTACAAGAATTTGTTTTTAAATTCTCTCAAAAAACTATTTTCAGTTCTTTTGGGTATATATTTAGGGGTTGAATTGCTGAGTCACATGGTTACTCTGTGTTTACCTCTTTTAGGAATTGCTAAGCTATCTTCCACAGCTGAACCATTTTACATTCCCACGGTGATGTACAAGTATTCTCACTTCTCCACATCTTTGCCAATGATTGTTATTTTCCTTTTTTAAAATTACAGCTATCCTAGTGAGTGTAAAGTGGTATCTCATGATTTTGATTTGCATTTCCCTAATAACTAATGATATCAAGCATCTTTTCATGTACTTTTTGGTCATTTGCATATCTTCTTTGGAGAAATGTCTATTCAAGTCCTTTCCTCACTTTAAAACTGGGTTGTCTTTCAGTTTTGAATTCTAAGAGTTCTTTGTGTTTTCTGGATACTCCCCTTAACTTTTGAGGCTACCTGAATTTTCAATGTTGTAAAAATCTGGTAATATGAGTGTTACACAATGTGGGAGAGACCATTTATTGTCTAATGATATCCACTTTCCAATTTTTTTATTGCAATAGAACCCCAACTTTATTTTTAGGCTAATTATGTGCCCACAAAAAAAGACTTTTTCTAGTCCCCCCTGTTTCTAGGCATGACCACATTGTTAATTTGAAGATGTCTATTAGACATCTAAGTGGGGATATTGGCCAGACATCTGGAAATTCAAGAACAGAGTTCAGGAGGGAGGTCATTCAGTCATGACCCTGTTGTTTCCTCCCCACTGCCTTTATCCACCACATTTGAGCACCTGGCTCACATGTTCTCCTCCAACTCAACATTCATACAAACAGCTAACCCAAGATCTTGGTCATTCAGTTTAGGACCTTCTCATTTCTAGTGACCTTCTCCTCCATCCTACTCCAGCCATCCCTCCTTATGACCATATACTAGGTCTTGACATTAAAAATAAACCTATCCAAAACATCATTCTACATTCTGGCCACAACCCTTCCAACCTCCATATTTCATGACTCACTGAGACTATTCTAGCTAATCAGGCCTCCAATCTATTTACCCGTCTAGTTTCTCCCCTTCCATCAGCCTTCTCCATCTTTCATGCCTTTCTATATTTAGTGAAACGTTATGGTCCATCATTTCAAGAACACTCTTTCCAATACCATAAACGCTGATGACCATTTGTTTTTTGATTGTACTTGTCAATCAAAATTCCAGCTATCTGCTTTGTCAGTGTCTATATTGAAAAACTCACTCATCTTCCCAAAACAAAAACAATAACCCACCTACATCTGAACCAATCTTCTTCCTGTTGCCACAGGAGTGGTTGGTGTCTATCCTATTGAAACTAACCCTTATCTCCTCCTCTCCTTCATATAAAACTTACACTACCAATGATTCATTTTCTCTTCTGGATATCTAGGCATTAGCTCTCAACTAGATTCTCCCAATCTTTATTTAAAAATTCTTAAGTCAGGGCACCTGAGTGGCTCAGTCGGTTAAGTGTCTGCCTTTGGCTTGGTTCATGATCCCAGGGTCCTGGGATCGAGTCCAGCATCAGGATCCCTACACTGGGATCCCAGGGAGTCTGCTTCTCCCTCTGCCACTCCCCCGCTCATGCTCTCTCTTTCTCACAAAAATAAATAAATAAAATCTTTAAAAATAAATAAAAATTAAACATTCTTAAGTCTTTCTTATCTAAAAAGCAAAACCAAAACAAACAAATCTCTTAGTCTCATTGCATCTCCAGCCCCATCACATTTTCTTCCTTCCCTTCTCACAGCCAAACTTACGAAAGATTTGCCAATACTTTATTAAAACACGTTGCTAAATCCCATAAGCATGTTTAGATCTCTTGTTGCTGGATCTTTCACTAGCATTTGACATGGCGCATCACTCCCTTCTAGAAATATTTTCCTTCTTGGGCATCTGGACACTACTCTCTTCTAGTTTCCATCCTGTTTCTCTAATCACTCCTTTTCTTTTTACAGTCTCAAAATGAGATAGAAAGTGTTTTACAAATCTGAGCCCTGTAATTAGTGTAGATAATTAACATTTTCTTATATGTTAATCATATAAAGAGGAATGCATATGGAACAAAGTTAGAAGGCAGACTTAAAAAGGAAAGTGATGGTTTAATTGAAATAGTATGACATAGGTGTTATCTTTTGTCTTAAATTTTCCTTAGAGTCTAACAGTGTTCTGTACTATATATTTCATTTAGGTATAATTAACATGCATTAATAGTGTTTTAACAATACATATAAATCCAGTGTATTTTTTAGGGAAAAAAATCAATTTATAATACCTGTTCTGAGAATCTAAGTGTTGGAGATAGTATGGTCAAGCTGGTGTAGCCACAGGAAGGAATGAGAATGAGGCTCTTCTTCTTCAAGGAAGCAGTTTATTGTACTCACAGGTCTTAGAGGGGGGATAACCATGTGCCATGCAGAGCCACAGAGGAAGCACCAAGTATTGATGTCACCTGGTGGCAGAAGAGAGCGGGGAGGGGAACGCCCGGATTTAGGACTAGCTAGTTTGAATAATGTCAGTGGGCTCTGGGCTATAGGGGTGCTCTCTAGTTGCCTGGTACCTGGCTCTGGGATGATTTCAGGCAGGGGAAACACAGGCTTGGTGGGTTCCAGTTAGAGGACCTTGGAGCTATAAACTAGGGATTGGTTGGCTTGCATATGAAAGATGTGCTCCCAGCTGAGCCCTCTGCTATCTGTCTCTAAGAACAGAGTAGCGCTGGGGGGAGCAGGCTCTCCCCTACTGAAAGCTTTTTAAGATACCAAAACATTGGGCGCCTGGGTGGCTCAGTTGGTTAAGCGACTGCCTTCGGCTCAGGTCATGATCCTGGAGTCCCTGGGTCGAGTCCCGCATTGGGCTCCCTGCTCGGCGGGGAGTCTGCTTCTCCCTCTGACCCTCCCCCCTCTCATGTGCTCTCTCTCATTCTCCCTCTCTCAAATAAATAAATAAAATCTTTTAAAAAAAATACCAAAACATTATAAAATATAGAAAATTTTTTAAAAAAATGATTAATGCAACATCTTCCAGGGAACTGCATTACTCTTTCAGATATTGACCCAATATTTTCATGTCAAATATGAGAAGGATAATGCTTAGATACAAGGCAGGCAGATAGTGCATGACGCAAGCATGTCACCTCACAGCTGCAGCTGCTGCATGCCTAGATCAAAGACCATGGACAGTATTACTTAGATTACCTGTCCTTTATATTTAAAAGAATAGCATTACCCAAAGCAAATGAAGTATACCAGTGAGGCAAAAGCTTTTGCAGGGTGTGGGCATAAACTGCTTCTCAGAGGGACCAGCCGGCTTGACAAGTTTTTGTGTATGAACCTCAGGAGAATGCAAAAGGAAGTAATTGCTAGTGGGATGGGAGAAGGAACATCCCTTGGGTTTCACCAGCATTTAGGAGAAAAGGGGGAGAATCGTGCTGAGTTAAAGTTGTGAAAAAGGGCTGTCATGGTAAGGAGCTCAGGTTTTGGTTTCAAATGGACTTGGATTCAAATCCTGCATTGGCCACTCATTGGCTTCTTTGGAAAGTCAGTTAATGATAATAAATAACATTTATGAAGCACCAAAGATGTGTGGGGCACTGTTGCAAGTGTTTTATATGTATTAATTAATTTAACCCCCACAACAATTTTATGCAGTAGGTACTATAATTTCCTCCATTTTATGGATGCATAAACTGAGGCACAGAGTGGTTAAGTCAGTTGCACAAGATCAACACATATTTATTAAGCGAAGGAGTTGTTTCCAATAGAGCAAGCCATATACCTCATGTCCTTCTAGTCAATAGTTTTTCCTGCTTGAGTTAAGCAGTACTGGTTTCTGAGCTCTAAGTGAAACAATACACGACAAGGTTTTTTATGCATGTTGTCACATGTGCATGAAGAATTTTTGTGTCAAATAAGGGGTAGATATCATTCATATTAAATAAATATAAGGGAGATTGTGAGGTGAAGAAAAGATAGGTAAGTAAGAAAGTATGAAACCTCACTGGAAATTGGTATATGAATTTTTTTTTTTTAAGATTTTATTTTTAAGTAATCTCTACATTAACATGGGGTTTGAACTCACAACTCGGAGATCAAGAGTCACACACTCTACCGACTGAGCCAGCCAGGCACCCTTGGAATATGAATTTTTTTTAAAAGATTTTATTTATTTATTTGACAGAGAGAGACAGCAAGAGGGAACACAAGCAGGGGGAGTGGGAGAGGGAGAAGCAGACTCCTGGCTGAGCAAGGAGCCCGATGCGGGACTCGATCCCAGGACCCTGAGATCATGACCTGAGCCGAAAGCAGACACTTAATGACTGAGCCACCCAGGTGCCCCAGAATATGAATTTTTTAAAACAATCTCAAACAAAAGTTATAAATATGGTTCTGACAAGTTTTTTTTTTCTCCTGAACCATTTGAGAATAAATGCTGACTTGTTACTTCATCACCTTCAAATACTTTAGTGTGTATTTCCTACAATAAGGGATTTCTTCATAATACAACCATCCAAATAAGAATATTAATATGATAGAATACTACTGTCCACTCCTCAGACAACCTGTCAAGTTTTGCCAATTTGTCCAATAATGTCCTTTGCAGTGAAAAGATCTTTGCATTTAGGGGCGCCTGGCTGGCTCAGTCAGTGGGGCATGGGACTCTTGATCTCAGGGTCATGAGTTTGAGCCCCACATTGGATGTGGAGCCTACTTGAAAAAAAAAAAAAGATCTTTGCATTTAGATTGCTCTGTCTCTTTAGTCTCTCTCACTCTGGAACAGTTCTTCAGTCTTGCCTCAACTTTCTTGTACTTGACACTTTTTTGAAGGTTGCACGCCAATTATTTTGTGGCATGTTCTTCCATTTGGGTTTAACTAAGGTTTCTTCACAATTAGATTCAGGTTATGCACCTTTGGCAGGAAAATCAAACACCAACGATGCTCTCCTTCCATCCAATCAGGTGGCACATGATTGTGATTTGTCCCACTGCTAATCGTGTTCACTTTGGTCATTTGATTAAGGTGGCATCTGCCAGTCTCCCCATCTGTATAGTTACTCTTTTTTCCTTTTACTTATTAGGTATTTTTGTAAAAAGGTACTCTGAAACTAGGTAATATCTCATTCCCCATCAGACTTTCAATTTCTTTATTTTTCTCTTTTACTTAATCGGTTATAATTTGTTACTCTATCTTTGAGATGCAATTCACATACCATAAAATTCGCTCCTTTAAAAAAATTCACCCTTTTGGGGTGCCTGGGTGGCTCAGTTGGTTAAGCGACTGCCTTCAGCTCAGGTCATGATCTTGGAGTCCCTGGATCGAGTCCCGCATCAGGCTCCCTGCTTGTCAGGGAGTCTGCTTCTCCCTCTGACCCTCCCCCCTCTCATGTGCTTTCTCTCGCTCTCATTCTCTCTCTCTCAAATAAATAAATAAAATCTTTAAAAAAAAAAATTCACCCTTTTAAAGTGTACAATTCAGCAGTTTTTAGTATACCCCTAAGGTTGTACAACCATCACCCCTATCTAATTCCAGAACCGTTTTACCATCCCCAAAACAAACCCATCAGCATTCCACTCTTTCCTCTCGCCAGCCACTGGCAACCACTAATCTGCTTTCTATCTCTATGTATTTGCCTATTCTGGACCTCTTATACAAACAGAATCATAAAATATGTGGCCAGCTTCTTCCAGGTCCCTCCATATTATAGCATGTGTCAGTACTTCATTTGTTTTTAGTGGCGACTATTATTCCAGTATATGAAACATATATATGTATATTTATATATATATACCACATTTTGTTTATTCATTTATCAGGTGATAGACATTTGGGTTGTTTCTATTTTGGGCTATCATGAATAATGCTGCTATGAACATTCATGTATAAGTTTTTGCGTGGATATATGTTTTTAATTCTCTTGGGCATATACCTAGAAGTGGAATTGTTGGGTCATCTGATAACTCTTTTTTTTTTTTTAAAGATTTTATTTACTTATTTGAGAGAGAGAGAGTGAGAGTGAGCGAGCATGAGCGGGGGGAGGGACAGAGGGAAAGGGACAAGCAGACTCCCCACTGAGCAAGGGAGCCCAATGCGTGTCTCGAGGTGGGGCTGGATCCCAGGACCCTGGGATCATGACCTGAGCCGAAAGCAGACGCTTAACCAACTGAGCCACCCAGGCGCCCCTGATAACTATGTTTTTTAACTTTTCTGAGGAACTGCCAAACTGTTTCCAAAGTGACTGCACCATTTTACATTCCCACCAATGGCATATGAAGGTTTCAATTTCTCCACACTCTTGCCAACAGTTGTTATTGTCTCTCTTTTTTTTTTTTAATTACAGTTGACCCTTGAACAACTGAAGGGTTAGAGGCACTGACCCCTCCATGCAGTCAATAATCTGCATATAGCTTTTGACTCCCCCAAAACTTAACTACTTATAGACTACTGTTGACTGGAAGCTTTACTGATAACATAGTCAATTAACACATATTCTGTAGGTTATATGTATTATATACTGCATTCTTTTTTTTTTTAAGATTTTATTTATTTGAGAGAGAGAGAATGAGAGACAGAGAGCATGAGAGGGAGGAGGGTCAGAGGGAGAAGCAGACCCCC